ATATTTTTATTCAATTGACGAATGAATTTCAAAACATTTATAGCAGTTCTTAATACTTTATTATTTTTCTAAACTTTAATATTTCCATAATTTGTATCCACATATTACAGCTTTTCAATTTGGGCATTAAATAATAATAACAACGAAATAAATAATGAAATGATAAAAAAAGGAATGATTTATAATTTAAGATATAAGGATATATTAAGAAAAATATTTCTAATAAAAAAAAGATTCTTTCAATTAAAATATGCAGGTTTTGTAGTAAAACTTCTATTGAAGTTAAGTGCATTTGATAAATTCAGAAGAAAATTTAATACAGAGGTTTGTGAACAATTTTGAACAAGTTGTATTTTCTGTATTACTGATGCAATAATTTCTAGTAGAAAAGCAATTAGATTTTAATAAATTCTAAGAAGCATGCAACAATTTAGTCCATTTTGCGAAAATTCCTTAATTGTTTCATTGACTATGAATAAGAATAACGAAGAATGAAATCACAAATTTAATATTTTTTAATTTATCCAAAAATATACCAAATGTATTTTCTAAAAATTAAATATATTTAAGAGACATTTCATTGAAAAAATTGATATGGAAGGAAATTGTAAAATTTGAAAACGAAGAAACTGCAAACGAAAATACTCGATAATAGATTACTTAAATTAATTTTAATAACTGATTATATAGTTTTGTTAATTGACTGTCTATTTTTAAATAGTTGATTATCTAGATCTGATAATATCTTATCTAAGTTTGATTAAAGAGCATTTAATATTAATTCTATGCATTTTAAATAAAATATTCCATACTATTTTTTATTATTACATTCGTTCTTATAAACTCCTTTTTTCAACACATTTTACTGCTTTATTATGATTAATTATTAAAAACAGTTCTAAGTTTTGAAAAATGTAAAATCATGACTTCTTGATTGAAATATTGAAACTTTTTTATCTTAGCTGACACTGTATTGCAAAAACATTATCACTAAAGTGTATTTTATATCAACGTTTAAAAAAACAATGTAAAGAATATTAAAAAAAATTAATTCACAAGCTATTTAAAAATTTTAAAAAAAGAACTATAATAAAATATAGATTAAAAAAACTTTGATAACTTATTAAAAGTCATTATTTTTAATTTAAAAAATTACAAATAGCTAATCATATTGTGTTAGAAAAACTTAATTATGCAATTAGAAATGATAGATACCTATTTGAAAAATATTTTTAGTTGATGCTCTATGAGTATAACTTTATTCGTTAAACGTTAACATTTCTTATCATTTCTGAACCGTATTATCTCACGTAAATCTAAAGCATTTGATATCCAAAAAACATATTATAAGAATTTGAGGAAAGCAATTTCAAGATTCAAAACATTTTTTGAGCATTAAACTTTTCACCACGTACAAACTTGTCAGCTAAGTCATACTTCTCTGAAAAATAAATCAGTACTACATGTAAGCCACTGAAAAAGGAGAACAAAATTTTCGATGTTGCTCTAATCTATTTTATTCACATCACGCTTTTGAAGTGCATGTAAAGACATTACTTTTGAATGTAGAAAGAATATTTTCTGAAATACTTGGGGGAAATAACTGCATCAAAGCATGAAATAATAAGGAAGAGTTTGTTGGGTAGAATATTTAAAGATTAATTCAGGAAAGAATTCCAAAACATGTCCAGTTGTAAGCTACTTCTTTTCAAGTAATATTATTTTCAATGTTTGCGAACAGAAATCCCTTTTATTATCTAATGGGCATGTACAAAAACGCACTGTATAAAATTCCAGATCAAATTATGGTAAAAAATACCGGCACTCAGGTTGCTGGTACTTTTTATGGAAAAATTAGTTTTTAGCGGAACATGTTACAGAACAAATTTATTTGATACTCGTACTGTAATAATTACCGTAAAATCCCTGAATCACTCAAATTTAATAAATTTTATTGTAAAAACTACCGGATACCGTAATTTTTACAGTAATAATTACCGTAAAATCACTGGATCACTCAAGTTTAATAAAATTTACTGTAAAATTTGCGGTATAATATTTTACGGTTAAAATGGATTTTACGGATGATGTTCCCAAAGTACCAGTATTTTATACCATGATTCAATCCGAAATTCTTACAGTGTATAGGAAGGCACATAAATTACAACTCTTAATGTTTATTTTTAACAGACTTATCTAAAGTGAATTAAAAAAGCATGCTCATAAATAGTCCAAAAGTAGTAAGGGAACAAGAACCAAACCAAAAGTTATTGAAATCGCGCTGGGAAAAAAGGTTTGGACAAAACTAGTATAATATGGTAAAATTCACTGTGTGCGTCTATGAGAATGTCAAAAACCTCGGAAGTTTATACCAAAGTATTTTGTCAATAATTTTAATAAAATTACCAATAATAATAAAATAAGTTTTTTTAATAGGTGATTAAATTTGGTGAATGTCGTGAAGTTTAGGCATTTTATCGTGACACCATATAGCATGGCATAAAACCATTTATTTGGTAAAAGTTACTTTACAGTTTTGTGTTTTTACTGTATATATGGTAATAAGAACTATTATTTTGAAAATCAGTGTTACCGGTATACCGTTACCATTCAAGCGGAAAAACTTCCCAATTAATGGTTTAAATACCATATATTTTGGTTTTAATAACAAGAATTATATTCCTTTGTTTTTAATAATAAAATAAGTATTTTTATTATGTGATTGAATTTGTTGAATGTCGTGAAGTTTAGTCATTTTATCATGACACCATATAGCATGGCATGAAACCATTTATTTGGTTAAAGTTACTTTACAGTTTTGTGTTTTTAACTGTATATATGGTAATAAAAACTATTATTTTGAAAATCAGAGTTTCCGGTATACTGTTACCATTCAAGCGGAAAAACTTCCCAATTAATGGTTTAAATACCATATATTTTGGTTTTAGTAACAAGAATTATGTTCCTTTGCTTTTTACCAGAAATGTCATTATAATTTTTTTCTCCGTGCAGGTTCTGGGGCTGAAGATTCGTTATTTAATCTTGCACACTGTCATAAAGTATGTTTCGTTTCTTAAGCACAATTCTTAAAGATTTTATCTTATTTTAACTGACTTAAAATAAAGATGGAAACAAATTAGGATATTAAAAGATATTATGTAAGGACATTTCCGTGACGTTAAAAAATATTTTCGACGTTGAATAAATTGAGAGCATGTTTTATGTTCAGTGTGAAGAAATGATCGGGAATGATATAAATAAAAAATATATTAACGAAAATCTATGTCACTACTTTAAGTTTTCCATTCAAAGTAGTGACATAGATTTTCGTTCATATATTTTTTATTTATATCATTCCCGATCACACTGGATGTAAAAACATTAAAGAAAAAAATTTTTTGACTAGTGCACATGGCTTTTAACGGAAAATAATAAATTATAATATTTAATTTTTTAAACGTATTTATCATATTAATCCAGATTTTAAAATAAAAATAAATATTCTGCATTAAACTTGGAAATTTTGAAATGCAACGGATGCATTACCTATACCAAGGTTCTATATTTTTACGAATACAAACTCACAAAGAAAATCCAATATCGTGTTTTCTATTTGTACAAAGAAAACCAAAATTTAATACTTCAAAGCTGAGGTTAAAGTAAAAAATGTAAAACTCGCAACAACCACACAGTTTTCAAATACACTAAGGAAATACTTTTCAAAAGACTACAAGGAATTGCCTCAAGGATAAAAGCATTTCTAGCATTTTACATTTTCTTTCTCACTGAGTAAAATAAAAGGTATTTGTTTTTAAAATACAAAATATGATTTTTACAAGATATTTATTTTGCTCTGGAAGAATGTATGTACTTAAACTATTACTAGAAACAATGTTATTCTGTCCTACAGAATTAAACTCTTTATCTCGAAGATTTCATAACTTTTAGCTAAAATTCCTGTAAACTCTATTCAATTGAAAATACAAATCACTGTTATTACGCTTTGGCAATAGGCTTTGTTTCATAGCTTCTACTAAGTAAAACATAAATAAATTCTTTGTTTAATCAAATTTAAACTCTATTTAACACTATTAGAGTTAAAATAAAGGATAATCGTTAATTAGTAATGGTGTCATTAAAAAACGTATACATATTCTACTGTTAAAAAAAACATATCTAAATACTTACTGCTTGTTAAAATTCTAACTGCAGTTATTACTATTTATGCTATAATAAATAATAATAGTTATTACGTTATTGAATCATATGATACGGGTATTATCTTCTTTAATCATTTATATTCGACGAAATCCTTTATTTATTTATTGTTATCTATACATATGAACACTTGTGTGCCCTTGATAATTCCTACTCAAGTTTAAGAAAAGATAGCACAAATTAGAGAAAATCATTACAACGATGCATTTCTCACAATGTGGAGGTAGCTGGTGTAAATCCAACCGTGCTCCAAGCTATGTGTGCTGTCTTTTGCTATCTTTATATCGATTCGACAAAAATATATTGGCCAGCTTTAATCGGTGCATATGTGTGCGTAACAATAAATAAATAAATAAATATAAGTAAAAATAAATATAAATGGATACATCTAGGGTTACAGTTATATTTGAATCCGCTAAATCTACTCTTTTATTTAAGGAAGTTGGGATTTATAATGTAGTAATTTTATTTAGCTTGATGCAGTATTTATTTAAGTTGAAGTGTGCCGAATTGTCTAGGTACTTGCACATTTGCAAATAAAATTTTTTATAATTTTAAATGTTGGTAGAGCTTAACTAGATTTACTAAATTTCATTTAAGTGCTTAGTTACTAATTTTGGTAAAATTAACAGTGAAAATGGTTATATAATATATGATTAAATTTAGTAAATGTGGAAAGTTTTGCAATTTTATTATAATACCTTAGAGCATGGCATAAAAATCATTTATTAGGTTAAAGTTATTTTTCAGTGTTGTATTTTTTTACAAAATTTGTAGTAATAAGAACTATAATCATTAAAACCAGAATTTCAGGTAAACCTTTACCATATAAACGAGGAGTTACCAAATGAATGATTACAATAACATATATCGTGGTTTCATTAACCACAATTACACGGGATTTTTTAATGCCAAATATGCTATAACCATACTGTAAGGTAATTTACCAAAATTTTCATCTAAATGCAGTATAATTTTAAGTGGAAAAAGAAGAGATAAAACACAAAAATCGGTTTGATTTGACAATTTCTGTCTTTGCTAAAGTATTAGGCTGATCGGAAAGTTATATTGTTTCGGTGCATTTACTAATGTGGGAAGCGTATTCCATACGTCATGCACACGTACATAGATCATTGCGCACCTTCCCCACGCATATCATGGCGCACACCCTTCCCTCCACACACACATTGTATGTGATGGTAGCCGACGAGGCAGGCGGCCTCTTCTAATAAGTTAAGTGTCTTGTATTTTGTGTATTGTCCAGTGTTATGTCCTATATGTGAATAAATGTTACTTAACGTAGTTCTGATGCTCCTTGCCTTCCCCCATATTTTGGGGGCACGGCCTTCCCTCTTGCAATCCTAAGACAACAATACCCCTAGATACCTGAAGCTGTCGAAAAATAAAATGCACCAAAGACGTTCTACATTTTATTTTGATGAATTGCATTAAGACGTTAACAAACAGACGTGTTGTGTTAAAGGCAATAAATGAAGTTCTTCTACTGGACGATATGTTACAATATTTTTTTTTGACGGACGGACTGCACCCAATACCAAGGTAGGCGAAATTTTATTAATTTCGTATTCAGAATTTTTATGTTAAATAGAATTGAATTCAAAAGATTAGTAATTTTGAACAGTTCCAATTTCCGCGTTAATTTGTTTTGAATTGTTTAATTCTTAATCTCTGTTTATCTAATTTCGATTTGTTTAAATTTTCATTGTAAATTAATCATGGCACTGAAATTAGGAGACATCCCCCTAATCGCCAATTCCTTAAAGTACGGAACTACTCAGGCTGTTAAAGCTTTAAATTCAATACTAGCACTCCCTGTTTTCGATAGAACATCGAGAAAAAAGATAAGAAACTTTTCAGCATTTCCTGATGATTTTGATTTCGAAAAACATAAGGAAAATTTGTTAGCTATTCTCTCTTTAAAAGAATTTATTTCAGTAGCTAATTTGTTGCATTTAGAAGTTGAAGGTGATGAGCAAATTTTATGTCAAAATATTTTAAATGCTTTATCGAACATTATTGAATTTCAAAAAACTTTAAGCACAGATTTTTTATCGGAAGACGAAAATGAAACTAATAATCCGATATTCCCGCCGAATCCAATAAATCAGAATACTAATGCTTGTGATTTTTCAGTAGGCGCCAATCAAGGTCAGCCAACTACCCCCGTTAGTGAAGAGCTTGTATCAAATATTCAAGGTCTTTCATTTTCTTCAAATCAAAATGATTCATTTAGTAAACAAAATAATGTAAATTCTTTTTCGAATGAGTTAGCGAATTCGGAAATGAATTCACAGTTCTGGTTACTTTTAAGAGACATTTCTTCTAATTGTAGAAAATTTTCGGGTGAAGATTTTTATTCTATTAAAAGTTTTTTTCGAGATGTTGAGGAAAATTTTGATTTATTCCCAGCTATAAGTTCCTCTCAGAAATTAATTTTTGCCAAGCGTTTGATTTGCGGAACTGCCAAATCATTTTTGTTTTCAAAAAGAAATTTAAATACGTATGACGCGTTCAAAGATGAATTAATTAAAGAATTTTCAGATACTGTTACTTCAATAGAAATTCATCGAGAACTTGAAAAACGTAAAATGTTGAAATCCGAAACTTACTTACAATATTTTAATTCAATGCGTGAATTAGCTAATAGATGTGACTCTACTATTGACGAAACATCCATAATTCAGTATGTTATAAATGGAATTAACGGAACACACTCTGAAAAAATTATTCTTTATGGAGCGAATTCTTTTTCGGAATTTAAGCAAAAATTACGTACGTATGAAACTTTTGTAAACAATAGAATCAATAATCCAAGTTCGTCAAATTTTCCCCATACACATGATAGCCTAAAACAAAACAACTATAGAAAGCCTTCAAAACTGAATGTTTTGGAATCAGCTAAAGCTCCTCAGCGTTGTTTTAACTGTAATGATATCGGTCATTTATCTAAATCGTGTCCTAATCGTTTACGTGGTCCCAAATGTATATCATGCAATCTGTTTGGTCATAAATCCACAGAGTGTAGGCGAAATAATCGAAATGATAATTCTGCACCACATGCCAATGTAAATACCGTTCACGAATCTCCTTCTCATATTAATATGTGTAAAGAAGTAATAATATCTGATCAAAAACTTAATGGTTTAGTAGACACAGGTAGCAATTTGACATTGCTAAGAAAAGCGGCATATACAAAATTAGGCGCTCCACCATTAAAAAGAAACAATAAATTGTTAACTGGTTTTGGTTTTTCACAAACAAACATCATCGGTTCTTTTGATTCCGAAATTATTATTGATGATCAAAATTTCCCTGTAACTATTTCTGTTGTGCCGAATAATTGTACAAATTATGATCTAATAATAGGTTGCGACGTTATTCAACAAGCAAACCTCTCTATTTCACCTGCCGGAGTTCAATTTTCAAAAATTTCTAAACCCTCTGATAATGTAATTGAAAATTTCGTTATGACAATTTCTGACGATTCTCCCTCTTATGATATCGGTCCTAACGTTTCGAAACAAACTCGTATAGAAGTTGAGCAACTTTTAATTGCTTATTCGCCAGAGAAAAAGAAAACTGCAAATATTGAACTTGATATCGTACTAACTGACGACGAGCCAATTTTTCATAAACCCCGACGTTTGCCATTTGTTGAGCGTGGCATTGTAGACGAACAAATTGACGAATGGGTTAAAAATGGAATTATTGAACCTTGTTCATCCCCGTACGCTAGTCAAGTTGTGGTAGTTCGTAAAAAAGATGGTAAATCTCGAGTTTGTATTGACTATAGACGTTTAAATCGAAAATTAATTAAAGATAACTACCCTCTTCCTTTAATTGATGATATTTTAGATTGTCTTCAAAATTCTAAAATTTTTATTACACTTGATCTGAAAAATGGGTTCCTACACGTTCCGGTTAATGAAAAAAGTCGTAAATTCACTAGTTTTGTTACACATAATGGTCAATATCAATTCAGACGTATGCCCTTCGGTCTTAGTAACGGTCCATCAACTTTTATGCGTTACATAAATGCTATTTTTCGAGACCTAATTGCTAAAGGTATTGTTTTGCCATATATGGATGATATTGTTATCCCTGCTGCTAATGAATCTGAAGCTCTTGAATATTTAAAAATTGTTCTTGAGGTAGCTCGTGATTATGGACTTGAAATAAATTTTCAAAAATGCAAATTTTTACATAATAAGATTGAATTTCTTGGATACGTAATAGAAAACGGAAAATTATCACCTTCTCCGTCTAAAACTAAAGCCGTTCTTAACTATCCAGATCTCAAAAATGTTAAAGACGTACGACGATTTCTCGGACTTACTGGTTATTTTAGAAAGTTTATACCCTCGTATTCCACTATAGCAAAACCTCTAAGTGACCTACTACGTAAGGACAGCCCCTTTCAGTTTAAAATTGATCAGAAAACCGCATTTCAGAAATTAAAATACTTACTTTCCCAAAAACCTGTTTTAAGTATTTATAATCAAAATTCTCCTACTGAGATTCATACTGACGCATCAATAGATGGTTTGGGGGCAGTCCTACTTCAAAAATCTATACATGACAACCAACTCCATCCAGTATTTTTTATGTCAAAGAAAACATCGGACAATGAAAGAAAATATACTAGTTTTGAACTAGAAGTACTTGCAGTTGTAGAAGCACTAAAAAAATTTCGTATTTATGTGCTTGGTACCAAATTTAAAATAGTAACTGATTGCGACGCCTTAGTGAAAACTTTGAACAAAAAAGAACTTAATTCCCGTATTGCTAGATGGGCACTATATCTTCAAGAATTTGATTATACTATAGAACACAGAACTGGTACAAAGATGTGTCACGTAGATGCTCTTAGTCGCTCTCCACAGTGCATGGTCATTCAAGATAGTTTACATCTTCAGCTACTAAAAGCGCAACAAACTGATGACCAAATAACCGCCATAAAAACTCTTCTTCAAAGTACACCTCACGATGATTACATACTAAAGAACAAATTATTATACAAAACTGTTAATGGAATCGATTTAATTGTAGTACCTGACGAAATGCAGACCAACATCATCAAAACTGCTCACGAACGTGGTCATTTTGCCGTATTACGTACACAAGAATTGGTCAGCAAAGACTTTTACATACCACATCTTAAAGACAAAGTTGAGAAATGCATTAAAAATTGTGTTACATGTATCCTAGCAAATCGAAAACGTGGCAAACAAGACGGTATGCTACATCCAATCGAAAAAAATGACTCACCTCTTCACACTTTTCATTTAGATCATCTAGGTCCGCTGGCAACCACCTCGAAGAAATATAAACACATTTTCACAGTTATAGATGCTTTTACTAAATTCAGTTGGCTCTATCCCACTAAATCCACAGACGCTGCAGAAGTCATCGATAGACTAGAAAAGCAAAGTCATATCTTTGGAAATCCAGCCAGAATAATAACTGACAGAGGATCTGCATTTACCTCTGCTGCATTTCAAGATTACTGCAATAAAGAAAAAATTGCTCATGTTGCCATAACAGCAGGCTTACCAAGATCTAATGGCCAAGTTGAGAAACAAAATTCCACCATTATTGCCGTCCTTTCTAAACTCTCAGCAGACAATCCAGAGAAATGGTATACCCATGTTCCCAAACTGCAACAGATACTGAACTCAACGTTTCAGCGAAGTATTAAGATGACGCCCTTCGAACTCCTCATTGGTACGAAAATGAAGTCGAGAAATGATATCAAGATCATAGAACTGCTAAACGATGAGACAACAGCTAATTTTCAACAGCAACGAGATGAACTACGCAAAAACGCAAAGAACCAAATTTGCAAAGTTCAAGATGAAAATCGCCGTTATTATAATCTCCGTCGTAAGCACGCACAAAAGTTCAAACTTCATGATTTAGTTGCAATTAAGCGAACACAGTTTGGTCCAGGTTTAAAGTTAAAGCAAAAATTTCTAGGACCCTATAAAGTGACAAAAATCAAAAATAATGACACCTATGACGTAGAGAAATGTGACTTCGTCGATGGACCTTTCAAAACCTCTACTTGTGCAGAGTATATGAAACCATGGCCTCACGATAATGAAAAAACTTAATTTTCTATTTGAAAATAGTCACTTTTTTTTCATGAAAGACTGATTGACTTTATCAAGAAACTAAACTTTTTTTTCCTTCCTTTAATATCATTGACTCTAAATTTTATATTTAATGATTTATTTTTATCTTGTTTTAGAGAATATTTACAGTTGCAGATTAATGTTTCATTGAAATGTGAAAAAGCTGTTACTGATATTTGTTTAACTATCGGTAATGTATGAAATTTTTTCTTATATTCTAATATTTCAGAAGATTGTAATGTAAACAGAAAATTGTAATACTGTGTTATGAAAATGTTTCATAATTGTTTTGCTAAAATTTTTCAGATTAATTTTCTAACTATTTGATTGTATTGTAAAATATTAGTTAGCTTAATTTTCAGATTTTTTTTTAATTGTTTTGGTAGATAGTTTTCAGATTTAATTTTATTGCTTGTAACACCAGGCGAGGTCGCCTTCCTGGTCATGATGGCCGATGTGGGAAGCGTATTCCATACGTCATGCACACGTACATAGATCATTGCGCACCTTCCCCACGCATATCATGGCGCACACCCTTCCCTCCACACACACATTGTATGTGATGGTAGCCGACGAGGCAGACGGCCTCTTCTAATAAGTTAAGTGTCTTGTATTTTGTGTATTGTCCAGTGTTATGTCCTATATGTGAATAAATGTTACTTAACGTAGTTCTGAAGCTCCTTGCCTTCCCCCATACTAATTCTTTTCAAAATTTTATTTTTAATCAATAATGTATTCACCCTCGTTAGCAACAACCTTTCAATAGCGGATCGAAAATGAATCGAAATGGATCGAAAAAAATTTATTTGTTTTTAAGACTAACGGATATTTAATACGTCAAAACGACGTTACTTTCCGGTCTTCCTAATATTTTTTTTTTTTTTTTTTTTTTTTTTTTTTTTTTTTTTTTTTTNTTTTTTTAATGGCGGGCACTTGGAACTATTGTCCATTGGCCACAGAAACTGCCAGAACTGCTAACTCTCTTTTCGTTACCCAGTGGGCACCTGTGGCGAAGCCATAGCGGTAGAGCAGCTTCGCCTACGTCGCACTACCACAACCCGTTTATAGGGTGGGTCACATTCACACACAAAAGAGAGAGGACATAGAACACAGATAGAGAGAAAGAAACGCCCATGCCTTGCCCAAAATTCGAACCCAGAGCCTTTCTAATGCAAGGACAGTGGTCCTCCTAATATAAGAATGAGTTATTCTACAGATTGCACTGGGGAATAATTTTTTTTTCCTGTTGCATAAATTTTTTTTAACAAATCTTAGATACTTTCGTATTGTTGAATTCAATTCTGTAATTGGTTTCTCTTAACAAGCTACAGTTTTTGTTTAAAGGATATTTTTAAACATTTTTGGCATTTTAAAAATAGTTATTCATCCCTTAACTTGGACTTTTTTTAATACATACAGGAAGTTAAAAATAACAATAAACAACGCAACACACGAAATCAGACAGACTTTTTATTTCACGGCTCCTATTTCACACAGAGATTAACAGATTATTCCGTTAAAGCCCGATTTCTTACATTGTAATGATATAAAAAATTCTTTAACGAATAGAATAGTAAGGCATTTATATCACTGGGGAACAAATAATTTTTTTTTCTGATTCATGAGACTTTTTATCGTGTCTTTGATATTTTAATGACATTTGTTGGAATGGACAAGCTTTTAAATGTTATACTTGTATATAACAAAGGGTTGCTTAAATGTCTTCTTTGATAGTTACAACTTCTTGGATAGTTAGGAGACGTCATTAGACTTAAAAATGCATACGAAACCATGCTCTGAGATGTCGTCTTACGCAACAGTAGCGCTTCCCTATTATAAACTATTTCTTCGTGTGTGCTTCTGAGCAATTTATAAATGGAAAGCACCGCTTGCCACCTAAGACGATATTTCCGGGGATGGGTGCATATGCAATTTTAATCATAATGATGCACCCTAACTCCCCTAGTAGCTTGTAGCAATATTTATGCCATCCCTTGTTGTAACGATTTTAAACTCGTTACATTTCAACCTGAAATCTGTCGCCATGTTTCTTCTTTAACTGGCCACGATTGCCTGAAAAAACATCTATGTCGCATCAACGTGGTTCATGATATCTTTTATTTATTATTTTTTCTTGTAACCGTCGTTGAACAGCCAACTCAATTTTTGGGTTTACGACTTCTAATGCTCACCTTCGTAGTCTTGTAATTTTGAACTCAATCCAGAAGACAAAGGGAACTCCTGGATCAAGTATTAGGAGTAAATTTGCCTTCGTGGAGGACTTTTTGATGGAACTAACCCGCTTTTGCGTTACATGGAGAGGAAGGCGACGAGATCCTTCCACAGTTAGCCTGACGGCAAGGGGACTCTTAACTCATGATTCGTCTACCACTGAGGTCGCACTTTCACATCAGCACTGTGGTCGGCTCAAGCCGGATGCTGAATTCGTATCGATTGGGATTCGAACCCGGTTCGCGACATTGGAAGGCGAACGCTCTATCCCCTCTGCACTGTGCTATTACGATCTTCCGAGCGAGCAACATTCTTCCCGCCACATTGCCACAGATACCCATTTACTAGTGGGCCACTTTCACACATCACACAACAGAAGAATAATTCAGCGAGAAAGACACCATGCTCCGAGTGGGATTTGCCTTGGCATAGGCTTGTTGAGAAGGCCAAGGCCCATCCTGGGCTGTCGTGTCAATGAGAAGAAGGAGAAGAAACCGCATTTGCGTTACATGGAGAGGAAGAACACGAGAACTTCCCACGGTTAGACTGACGGCAAGGGGGCTCTAACCCATGATCCGTCCACCACTGAGGATATTTCACGTCAGCACTGTGGTCAGTGCGAGCCGAATGTGGCATTCGTATCGACTGGGATTCGAACCTGGTTCACCTCATTGGAAGGCGAACTCTCTATGCCCTGAGCCATCACTGCTCTCATGATACCTTTCATACATTGTGTATCCTCCACGAGGTAATGAACTTGTCAAACCTGTCTAGGTGCCCTGCTCTCTATCGGAAAACTATCTGGAAACGCTACTGAATTGCTCGCTCTTATTTATAGATTTATTGTTATCTCTTTGATGTTCAATTGTCTTTTAATGTGCCATTGGAAATAAATGAAATAAAAAAAAACATTTCAACCAAAAATCTCATTTTAAAAAAAATCTGTAGCTTCAGAAGCAAAACAAATTTCAGGTTTAAAATCCCCACACCCGAATTAGACGAGATTTGTATACATGCAGGAAAAATTATTTCACTGTTATCTCGCTGATGTGTAGAATAACTAGTGCAGGGGTTCCCAATTTTTTCTCCTATGGAACCCTCAATGATCGTCCTTCATTTGGTGGAACCTCGACTTTGGAAATAAGAACAATTGTAAATATATTAAACAATGATAGACTACTAAATACTTTTTTAAATGTTTAACATGAATGGGAAAGTTTTTCAGTTGTTTCATCAATACTACTTTTAAAATTGATTTTATGTCAGACATATTAAAAATGCTAACCTCATTTGTAGCTCGGAAATAATTTTTGATGCTCGCAAATGCTGAATTATAGTTTTCATTAAATGTCAAAGAACTTTTAAAAAAGTTAAGAATAAGCCGTGGTGATTCAGGGGATAGATCGCTAACCTCCCAATGAGGTGACCTGATTTTGAAATCTATTATGACTCATCGATACGAATTCCTTCGGGTCGCTCCAACCACAGTATTGACGAAAAAAATCCTTCACAAAGGTAAGAATTCCTTCCAATACTTGATCCAGGAGTTCCCTTGTCTTCTGGATAGGGTTCAAAATTACAAGGTTAAGTAGCTGAACATTAGTAGTCGTAAACTCAAAATTAGGTTGGCAGTTCAACGACTAGTATAAAATAAAGTAAACAAAACGTTAAGAGTGATTATTGGAATGTACTAAAACGAATTTTTTTTTTATATAGAAAAGTTCGTTTTGAAATAGTAATGCGATTTCTTATATTAGGGAATCAAAAATAATTTCGCTTCGGTACATTAAATATTCATTTGTCTTAGAAACGAATTCATTTTTATCGGTCCACTTCGATTTACTTTTGATCCGGCATTGAAAGGTTGTTGCTAACGAGGGTGAATACGTCTTTGATTAGAAATAAAATCTTGATTAAAAATAAAATAACAAATATCAACTACAATGAAACTACATTACTTTCCGGTCCCCCTAATAAATGCATATCATTTTCGTAAAATATTATTATTATTATTACTATTATTATTAGAATAAAAATAATTTTTTTTTAAATTTTGTGATTTTTTCATTGGAATTCTATTAAGAAAATGCCTTGTGTATACGCTATATGAAACGAATAATGGATAATTGATTAGATATAATTACAGACATATATTATTAGATACAATTGAATTATTCAAAAAACATAACCATTTAAAAAATGTCCTTACTCCACTCGAATCCATGTGACCCTTCCATAAAACTCATGGGTTCCGCGAAACATTTTTTAGGAACCGCTGAACTAGGGCTATACGATTATCCCGCTAGGGTGATGTCTTAAATCACCTAGGTTATCTGCAAACTCCCTAGATAATCTTGCACATTACATACTACGTGCTCGTTAAAATTAAAATAAAATCTTTAATGGAATAACAACAACGTTTCTGCACTATTAAATTAATATAGTGTTAATTATATATTTTTCACTACTTAAAAAACCAAAATACTTCAATCAAACAATCAATGCATGAGTTGATAGAATCAATCATCAGTCACTTAAAAACTATAATGTTATGAATTGAACGGCTTAAAATATCTCTTTAAATTTTTAAAGCTAGTAAATATGCAATGCCCATTATGACATCACAAATAGAACAGAAGAAATTAACTTGATATTATTTACTTATTTTTAGACGTCTAAGAAATCAATACAATCTGGCAATCAAAAAATTAGTTAGTAGAATGAAGGGAACAAACGTTTAACATTAAGGATATGGGAACCCTTAATGTCCTCATTTCCTTGATTTCGAACTTTAACAAATTACCTTAATTTATTTGAAAATTGGCAAGGAAATGTGGCTATTAACGGCTTCTGAGCTTTAGATTTCTAGTAATTGATATTCAACTCTTCTCTTTTTCCCTTGTAGTCAAATAGGTTTTGATTTTTTTTTTTTTTTTTAGTTTGCCTTCCTTTGGATTGATTGTTAAATTTATATTTCTTTTTTGTTTCTTCCTTACTTAAATATTAATTTTAGACCCGTTTTAAATGCGATAATTTTTTTTTCATTTTTGTTAAGGATTTTAAAATTATGTGCAAAAATAGGTGATTACAGAACACGGCGCAGATTTGTCATGTGATTTATAAATTAACGTATAAATCATTCTCCAAAAATGATTTTCATTCGTGCTATCATTTTAGTAAATTTTTACAAAATATGAAGAAGAATTTTCTACCAGTTACCTTTTAACCATTATTTTGAAGATCTATTATATCCTGTCAAAATCAACAAGAAAAACTATCAATTGTTTAAAATTATTTAAATAAATGAAAATATAATTCTCCAAATTGAGTGTAGGAAATAGAGTTATATGGTATGGTAGGTACATACTTTATTTACATCGCACTAGAGCTGCACAATGAGCTATTGGCAACTGTCTATATGGTATGCATCTCAGAA